GAGAAACATATTTACAGAATGACATCTCCCATCATTTCCTCTTTTCTGTCTAAATAAAAAGAAGGGTTTTAACTTTAATATAGTAAAATATATAACAAACCAGTTATCGAATAAGAACTATAGTTAACAATATTTAGTCCATTAACATTTAGCAAGATTTAAAGAAAATATTCCATCATTATCCTAACTTTGTGAGTCTAGAGTCTTATAAGTAACTTATCTTTAGTCCTAACTAAGGAAAACTATAATCATAACTGCCTGTCTTCAACTCCATCAAAGACCACAGAAGGATAGTATAGAAACTCTCTAGAAATGACAGAGACAACTTGCTGCCTTGTCAGTCACCTGAAGTTCTTCTGTAATGTTCCATCTTCAGCCTGTACGCCATAGTGTGTCTGGCAGACTTCTCAGCAAAGCAGGAAATTTCAAACTGTCCTACCTGTGTTGGCAGTTTGTCAGTCACTTTTCTCTGTATCCTGCAGAATGTCTGGCAGACTCTTCCATGAAGCAGGAACCCTACAGCAATGTCCATCTTGTTTCAGCAGCCATTTTTCTGTGGGTCCTACTTATCCAGTTTATACAGCATAAAGTCAATCAGTACAAAGTATTCATTTCTATACCATACAGCCCTAAATAAGCACACAATGACATATTATTAAACTGTTGGCCAATGGGTAGGGCTTCTTATTGGCCAGCTCTCTCTTAATTATTAACCCATTTCTATTAATCTAGGAATTTCTACATGGCCTATCTTACTGAAGAATGCCTGGCATGCCCTATCCTCCATGGTGTCTCCTGCAGTGCCTGTCTTTCCCAGAATTCTCCTTGTCTCCTAGTCCCACCTATCTTCCTGCCTCTACTGGCTATTGGCCACAGTGTTTTATTCATTAACCAATAAGAGAAACATATATACAAAAGGACATCCCCCATCAGAAGAGTACACCTTCCTCCTGGGCTGGGGTTTTTCCCCAAGAGCTAGACCTGTCTCAGGTCATTTGGATGGAGAATTAATTCAGACACTTCCAAAGGGAGTTAGGTCTATATGGTCCACTCCTAAGTATCCAGTGCCTGCCTGCTGGCCTCAAGCTATGGGAATGCCCACCCATGTCTGGGTGTGATCTGCACACATCATTCCCACTGTGTATCCCATGTGAAGCTAAGGGTGAACTGAGTAGGGAGTTAGGAGGATAGACAGAGGGCAGGCCAGGAGAGTCTAGTGCATTTGGTCAGGCATTGGGAGGTAGGGCCCTTGCCTGGAGTATGTTACCAAGGTTACTAGGTGCAGGGAAGTAGCATCCAGAGAAACAGGTAAGGCAGGAGGGAGGGGAGCAGGAACAGGCAATCCAGTGCAAACACAGTCATGTGTCCCATGTGATAAAGCCTCCTGATCAAAGGGACCTTGAGCCTAAATAGTGACATGGTCTTTTAGTCCTAGGTCTCTTCAAGGACTATCTGTTGGAGTGGCTACCTGTGGAACTGAGTCATATGCCAAGCAAAGAACAAAAATGTGGATGGACCTCAGGCGCAAGCTCATGTTTGAGGTCTCAGGCAGACACTGCTGTTTCTCACAGGCAAATCCACTTGCCAGCAAAGCACAGTAGGGACACACACCCCTGCTGCCAGATGAGCAGAGGTAGGGATCCCCAGGGGTTTGGGATGTGCAGAATGGGGGTGTGAGCTACAGTCTCAGCTGCTCAGAACCCTCTCAGAGCTTTGCTGGGTTCTGTCCTCCACTACTGTACCCTCAGCCTGGCCCTCAAAAGCACCTGTCACCTTTCTCTGTGCCTGCTGCACAGGGATTTCAGGACAACATTAAGTGGAGATGGTGTGGGCCAGGGCAATGTGCTAGGAGCCAGGTACTCCATTCTACTTCCTAGGATAGTCATTCAAGGAGGGAGCTCCTACCACCTCCATTCCTTCTCATGTCCTTATGCAATCCAAAGCCACAAGCAGAGGTGTGTAAAGCATTGCCGGGGGTAATTGCAGGTTACATGGAACAATCTGAAGAATTAAAAACATATTTTCATTGCATCATAAAAACATGCAAAGGCAGAGAAGAGGCGGCCCAGGGGAGCACCTGGCCCTGGGGCATTCTAGCCCTTGATGCGTTTTTTGGTCCAGAGAGGAGACTAGCCCTGCAGTGATCCTGCAACTAGGCCGTGCAGATACTCAGGACTGATGCAGCTCATCCATGGGTCCTGCTCCTTGGCATTGGCCCTGCCTTCGGCACAGAGCACAACAGTCCTCAGTGACTGGCACAAGGTAGTCACTGGTCTGTGCACACTGCCCTGATGGGGACTTCCTGGTTCTGTTCTGGCTTCATACATGACTGAATGAGGGTTCTGGGGTCAGGTCTCACCAGAGCACTGGGCTGCCTTTGTGGTCTCCTGAATCTGACCCTGAGCCCCACAGCCAGGCCAATGTGTGGGGCTACATTGGCTAACCCCAAAGGTAGCTTGGGTGGTGGCTGATCCCTGCGACTGTCTTTCCTCTGCAGCACTTGCTGCCAGATTTCTGCTCTCCAATTTCCAGGAGTTCAAAGGGAGCTAGGACCTGAAGCCACAGAACATGGATTCGTGGATATCTGGACTTCCTAGAGGCTGGCACAGGCTGAGACAAAGATTCCAGGGGCAAGTGCCCTGATGCATATTTTGCTCTGAAAAGAAGATGTAAAAGGATGCCTTCCCTACCTTTGGGACCAGCCAATGCAGCTGCACACACTGGCCTGGCTATGGGGTCCATGAGCAGGCTCAGGAGACCACAAAGGCAGCCCGCTGCTCTGGTGAGACCTGGGCTCAGAGCCCTCACTCAGTCCTGTGGTGCCAGAAGGATTAAGAAGGCCCCAATGGGGCAGTGTGCACAGGCCAGTAACTATCCTGAAGGAGCTTTGGGGATATGAATGTATGGATGGTATTGGCTGGCTGGGTAGGCAGGAAGCTACAAGCCAGTGTGTGCAAAGGGCCAGTCACAGGTTGCCTCTATTCAATCATCACCAAGCACCAAGGCCATTTTCAGGTGCTTGCTTGCTCCCTTGGCAGAGACTGCCCCCCAGAGCTGTGGTCCCATGGGATATACCTGGCCAGGCTGCAGAGGCTTTCCACCCCTCTGGCCTGAGGCAGCAGGTGTTAGTTGACCTCTCTGCCTTAGCTGGCAGACAAAACCTCAAGCTGGAGGAGCACCCCTAGGATCCTGGCAGGCTGGAGCATGCCACCAGTGGAGCATTTAATAGGACATGGCTGATCTGGCCTTGCACTTGTCAGGAGGGAGGGCCCAGCACAGCACTTGGTTTCTTAATTGGGCGCCTGAGAGCGCCCTGCACACTTCCACTTTGAGCCAGACTCCTGTAGGCCCATTAAGGTGCAAACACATTCCTTTGTTGGCTGACAAGCAGGGTCCTATCCAAGGCTCCCGGGGCCAGGCCAAGTGATGTTTTCTTAAGGAAGACACGAGATTAGCCTCTGCTAAAGCCTCAGCATAATGCAGGGCCCTGCCCCTCCCTGTCAGGGCTGTGTCTTCCTGAAGCTTCAATGTGGAGGATTAGCCAAAACCAGTCCACAAGCTGACTTGGAGGGCCACAGTGAGAAGGTGAGCAGCTTTCAGTTCAGAGACAGAAAACCTAAAACAACCCTGGCAAACCCTTTCCTCCTGTTCCTGACTCTTGGTACCTCTGGACCTTAGGGGTAACCTTGGCAGAAGGTACAGGAGGGATCTCTAGAAAGATGTCTTCAGATCTGAGCCAGTAGCTGAAAGGAGGCTGAAAATGGAGAGGTGCTGTGTTTTGCAAGGAACATGTATTATGGTTCTGGTGGCAGCAAATCCGATTGGGAATTCCTGGGGACACCACAAGCAGACATGCTTTAGGAAAATACCCTCTTTATTGGCGCTCCAGAAATGCCAGGGGTTTCAAACCTGGGCAGCCCACAGGGGGTTTCTGCACAGGCCATCATCATCTGACACTGGAGGATGGGAAGGCTTGCCAGAGGATGCAGGTGTGGAGTAACTACTCCATGCGGTCATCCCTGCAGGACACACGGTGCTCCATTCACATATGGGTCTCTGAGGAGGCAGCAAAGCCTTCCAGTCCTGCCAATAACAGGTGGGGTCACTACAGGCCAACCTCACATTGGCCTAGCTGTGTCACCCCAAACCATAGGAGACCCTTGAGATATAGAAATAAGCCTTTGGAGAGAGCCCCCAGCCCCACACTTGCCCTGGTTGGTATATTAGAGCAACTGCAGTTGCTACAAAAATATTCTGACAAAAACTTATACGGGGCTCTTTACAAAAGCCCAGAAGGTATAATATTGTGGTAAGATCTTCCTTAGAGAACCCTTTTTGTCAAATGCAGCCCTGGTGCTGGGAAGCCTTGGTGGAGCTGATGTGAGAATGCCAAGACAAGGCCCCTGACCACATTGACCACCCAGTGGATGTCTGGGACTCAGACCTGATAGAGGGCATTTTGAGGGGGAAAGAACTCTTTCTATAGTCTCCCCCTCAGCTTCAGTGAGGAGAATAGTCACTAAGGGCCCAGACCAAGAAAGGTCTGCAGACCAAGACAGATTCTCAAGATGGGCTGTAGCATGCAGTCTCAAGGACTAGGGCTTCTAGAGGGTGCCGTCAGACAGAGGTGACAATGGCAGGGGCAGGAGGCCTTCACCAATTTCTTCCTCAGAAGAGGGCTACAATGACTGCTAAGGAAGGCACTACGACTCTGGCTCCCCACTCAGCTAGCCTGGCTCTACAAAGCTATAGCAGAATCATATGTGTGGTGGCCGGTCAGCTGTGTACAAGGCAGCAGCATCTCCACCTTCTGGGCAAAAGGAAATGAAAACTGCACACAGGAAGCAGCACTTGACACTCACCAGGAGATGCCAAGATAGACCAGCCTGTGGGGAACCTCTGCGTGTACCTGGCTGGCATCATGCCTGTCACGGTGGCTCCCATGACTCCAGTCATAAATGCTCATTTCAGGCCTGCTCACCTGGACCCAGGTATCTGAGGAGCCTTTTACTGGACACATGGCATAGCGTGTGCCCTCAGCTTGGCAGGGATGGTGACTTAACCTCAGCATCCAGTCACAGTGGGCTGCAGACCCGAGCGCTTGGAGATGTGCAGTTTCACCACCTCTTCAGAGCAGGTGGGATGGATCCCTACTGTCTGCATCACCTGTGCGTATGACGCCCCACATCTGCACACATTGAGAGTAGAATGGTAAGTGAACAGCCTTGGGAGGTTTGTTCATGCCATGACCTTGGGAAGACTTAGAAGCCGCGTGGTTTCCTTATTGGGTCAGCACTAAGACTACCCATGCCTGTGCTGCTCTGCCCACTGCTCCCAGTAAACATCCACTACCTACATTGCTAAGTTGCTACCTACCTCAGGTCCTCCTATTCAACCTTTCCCTGGCTTGCTCTAGTCTGTTTGTCCTAATTGCCCCTCCTTCAAGGCCTGCTCCATCACTGTCAAGGTGGGGCAGGAATTGTCCACCTGCCATACCTTGAATCCTGAAGGACACAGAAGTGAGAAGGCATAGGGAAAGGTGTACAGGAGGAGGGTGTGTAGACATCTGGGTCCCCAGTGGGCTGGGAGCACATAGGTATGGCTAAGAGTTGGGCCTTGGGGGTAAGAGGTCTAGGGACAAAGGAGAGCAGGGAGAGGATTTCAACGAAGGAATAGGACCAACATGTTGAAGGGTTGTGTGGGTGAGACAGGGTTTGGGCCACACCTGTCATACAACATCAGACCTACCTAGCCTACAAATGTGTTAAGGCAATGGCTGGTGATAAGGTTTTCCCAAGCATGAGCCATAGGTCCCCATGTCTTAGGGATGTCTATCTGTGGTCTCTAGGGGATTGCAGCATAGAAGTTTACTCCAAAGTAGCTACCAGGTAGGATCCATGAACAGTGTCTTCTAAGTATCCTCCTAGAGACAATGTGGGCAGTGTCTAGCATGGATACATGATATAGATGATGGTAAGCAGAGCATCCACATCAGTTTGGCCGGGGAGGGCCCTGGGATTAATGAGATAGGGCTGTCCCATAGTACATTCCCATTCATTGCCCAGACAATTCAGTTTTGGGAAGAATTTCTGAAGGTTATTTATTTATTTATTTATTTGGTTTTTTGAGACAGGGTTTCTCTGTATTGATTTGGGGCTTGTCCTGGAACTAGCTCTGTAGACCAGGCTGGACTCAAACTCACAGAGATCCACCTGCCTCTGCCTCCCGAGTGCTGGTATTAAAGGTGTGCGCCACCAATGCCCCCCTCTTCTGCTGTGTCCATCATGCCTGAGGCAGGCTGAAAGATGCCTGCTGCAGACATGCACAAACCCCTTCCCCAGAAATGAGGACCCAGTAGCTTCCACTACTGTGAAGACAACTAACAGAAACTGCTGTCAGAACAGAGGGAAGTGGCTACAGCCAGGATTCTACATGACTTACTTGATCCCCAGAGCAAATCCTTGAGTGACTTCTCCAGCATTAGGGCCAAGGAAGTGCAGGCCCAGCACCAGCTGTGGGGGCTCCCTCAAGCACACCATCTGAAAGCCACAATGATTTTGACTGTCACTTAGCTACAGGGGACCCATCTAGCCATAAGGATTTGGTATTCCCTATCTCCACAACCCTCAGAGTTTTCTATTTGTGGTAGCTAGTACTGACTGTCCGTTTGACAAGCTCCACAAGGGAGTTTCTACATTGGGTAACAGTGCTGGGTAGTCCCATTGTAACTGTGGGTGGCACTGTTCCATGGGCTGGGGTTTAGACTGTACAAAATAAAGATTGTGAGCTGAGCAGCAGCATCCATGTCTCTGCTTCTTGACTACAGACACAATGTGACAGGCGGCTTCAAGCTCTTGCCACCAAGCCTTTTGTTACACTGTGAGACAAAGTAAACCCTTCCTTAAGTTGTTTTTGCAGGTACTTTGTCACATGGGGAAAGTGGCTAATATTCACTGTTCTGCCCTGTGGGTATCAGCACACTCCCCGTAGTCACTAGCTTTTCCCCTCTTAGTCCCAGTGCACCCTATCCCTGGCCCTAAGCACACTCACCTTTATATAGCACTGCGATGCATCCCGATCTGTCACTGTGAATTCCAGTGGCTTATAGTATGCATGGTAAACCTGGGTGACAAGACACCAGCTCCTGAATTCGTGGCCAAGCCCAAGATAGTCCTATAGTCTTGGAACTAACAACAGCAACAAAATGTACTCAGAAGGCAGGATTCTCAGGGACCCAGAGGCACTCATGTGACCCAAGGGTATGTGTGAGATGTGGAAATGCCTCAGCTGGTTGTAGAGAGTGTGTCCTCCTATGTTCAGGTAGCCAGTACCCATAACCACATAGTCTGCAGATAGAATCTCTCCTACTCAGATCTAAGACTCCCCACTGAACTACAGCAGGAGAGCAGGCACCAGGCTGCTGAGGTGCTGTTAGCCATGGTACAAAACAGAGACCATGTTTGAGCCATGCTACTGGGGCATCTCCAAAAGGTTCAGACTGGACAGAGGGACCTCAGGCAAGTCACTGGTATAGGAGTGCTGCCCACCTTATCCATGTGAGCAGGAATGGCTCTCAGAAGGCTGCCTGGCCTCCCTGAGACACCCTGGTGCTGACTTGGCAAGTGTCAGCTAAGTGAAGGAGTTGGTGCAGGGTTGTGGAGGGGCAGGGCAGGCCCCAGCCTCACTGGAGCTGTGGAACAAGGGCTTTCAGCACCCATGGAGAGCTTGACAGTATGTTCAGGGCTGCAGCCATATAAAAAATGAGCAGGGCCCCACATGTGCTACACAGCCATTATTAATTAATAGGGCTTCAGAGAATATTGTTCTAAGCAAGACAGAACTGAAAAAAAAACAAACAAGAATGTTTGGCCATTCAACATCATGAAACATAAAGCATTATAAAATGCTATGAACACATGTCCCAGTGTACTCATGATGAATCTAACAAAAATAGCCAATAAAGTGCTGGGAGGGCAGGCCTGTCAGGCCTGTCTCCATGATGGAGGGGCCTGGGTACATGGAGCAGGCAGACTCCACAGCCTAGTGACCCGGGCCTCTCTGCCTACAAGCTGCTGCTACAGGAAGACCTACACCAAAGTCCTCCAGCTTCCACAACCTGGCAGCTTTTGAAGCTTCCAGCTACCTTGGCCTACTCTGAGAGCACTGCTGGGGCCACAGGCAGCCTGCCACTGCAGATTCCCAAAAGCACCCAATTGAAACCCCTTTGTTTAGGATGAAGGCTCCAGTCAGGGCCATTGGGCCTGTAGGCATTAGAAGAACTGGGGAAGAGGACAGAATTTAGGCTGGGAGTGCGTGTCTTGCCCACTAGGAACCTTAGGAGAGTACCAGAAAGGTGGAGGTGCAGGTGGGTAGAAGTGGGCCAGCCTGGGCCAGAAGGTAGAATGGAGTAGCCAGTAGGCCGGAGGACACCTTGGAGGAGCCATTCAGGTTAAGGGAGACTCTTCCGCTAAGAGGTAGGGAGGACTCTGCAGCACCAGGACCTTAGACCTGTCACAAGCTCTCTGCATGCTGAGGCTCTGGGGGAATACTAGGAACCAAAACAGTGCTTCTACACACAGCATAGTCAGGAGCAGGGCTGGAGGCTGCCAGACCAAAGAACCTCAGGGGAGGAAGGTCAAGGACTCCATCCTGGACAGCAGGGGTAGTACCCTACCTCTACATGCTCCTGGCCATGGAGAGCCACAGCCTCCTCCTCAGACAGCCCCACACAGCCATACTCCAGTGGTGTAAAGACAGTCGTGGGAACCTGGAAAGTAGGTCTGGAATCAGATATGCCTCTTGGGCCCCCCAAATTGAAACTGCATCCCCTGAGTGACACTTGAGTAGTAATCTGAGGCCAGGGACCCAGCCACACACGAGCACAGCAGGTGCATTCCTGGGCTGGACCAGGTCCCTCTCTCTAGAAGAGGGAATGAGCTGCTGGCCTTAGCCCTATTATCCTCACCAGTACACCCATATGTCAACAAAGGGCAAGAGATCCTGCCCATAGTTCCCAGTGACTAGGGATCTGGTTCATATGGCCCCAAGGACTGTGTCCTCCTGCCCCTGTATGCACATGCACTCATATTCACACACTCACATGTACATATACACCCATGCACATACATCTGTGCATATGCATGCATGTATACATGTGTGCATACATATACCATGCACATGTAAACACATAGGTGCAAAGGTACCCTTCAGCCAGGAGAACCAGCCAAGCCTTTCCCAGATTGGATTTGGGTCCTTCATAGGAACTCACGCTGCTGTAATCCATTAAGGCTGAGGATTTCCCAAAGAGCCTCTGAGCCAGTAGCTTTCCTGCCTTGATAGCTGTGGGTGTCAGCTCAGGCCGCCCCTGAGGGAAGAACACAACAACACTATGGTTTCAGGCAGCCATACAGATGCTGCACACCCATTGCCTCCCTAACAGGTTGAAGACTCCCAGTAGCATGCCATAAGCTTTGAGGATGTGAACATAGGCAACAAGGATATGGGCACGGCTGTGAGGGTATAGACAAGAGCCGTGAGGGTGTGAGCATGAATTGTGAGGGTGCAGACTACAGCTGTGAGGGTGTGGACATGAGCTGTGAGTGTGCATACTAGAGTTATGAGGGTGTGGACATGAGCTGTGAGGTGTGGACATGAACTGTGAGTGTGTGGACACGAGTTCTGAGTATGTGGACATGAGCTATGAGGTGTGGACAGGAGCTGTGAGTGTGTGGACATGAACTGTGAGTGTGTGGACAGGAGCTGTGAGTGTGTGGACATGAACTGTGAGTGTGTGGACACGAGTTATGAGGTGGGGACATGAACTGTGAGTGTGTGGACACGAGCTATGAGGTGGGGACATGAGCTGTGAGTGTGTGGACACGAGCTGTGAGTGTGTGGACATGAGCTGTGAGTGTGTGGACATGAGCTGTGAGTGTGTGGACATGAGCTGTGAGTGTGTGGACACGAGCTGTGAGTGTGTGGACATGAGCTGTGAGTGTGTGGACACGAGCTGTGAGTGTGTGGACACAAGCTGTGAGTGTGTGGACATGAATTGTGAGTGTGTGGACACAAGCTGTGAGTGTGTGGACATGAGCTGTGAGTGTGTGGACATGAATTGTGAGTGTGTGGACATGAACTGTGAGTGTGTGGACAGGAGCTGTGAGTGTGTGGACATGAGCTGTGAGTGTGTGGACAGGAGATGTGAGTGTGTGGACATGAGCTGTGAGTGTGTGGACATGAACTGTGAGTGTGTGGACATGAACTGTGAGTGTGTGGACACGAGCTGTGAGTGTGTGGACATGAGCTGTGAGTGTGTGGACATGAATTGTGAGTGTGTGGACATGAACTGTGAGTGTGTGGACAGGAGCTGTGAGTGTGTGGACAGGAGATGTGAGTGTGTGGACATGAGCTGTGAGTGTGTGGACATGAACTGTGAGTGTGTGGACATGAACTGTGAGTGTGTGGACATGAACTGTGAGTGTGTGGACATGAACCATGAACTGTGAGTGTGTGGACAGGAGCTGTGAGGGTGTGGACCCAAGCTGTGAGGGTGTGAACACTGCTACAAGCTGTGAAGATCTGGGCATCTTCAGCATGCAAGGCTGAATTTCCCACAGTGACAATCCCAAGACCTCTATGGGTTTGCTTATTACCACTATCTTCCATCCACCCCATTGCAAGGGCATGTGGAGTCATCATCACTCTAGAAGAAGGAACAGGCTGCCGGGCACAGCCTCACTACCCTCCCTCCCTGGCACAGGCTTTTCCCTGAACCTGTCACACCAATGATCTCAAGAGTGTTGGTCTCATGACAGAGCTCAAAAGAGATCCTGCCATGGTTCCCAGTGGCTCAGGGTCCAGTTCATATGGCCCCAAGCATGTCATGTGCCCCTGACACACAATTGGACACGAATGTCACAGTCCATGACAAATTCCAAATCAGTGTCATTCCACAGAAGACCCCTCTGTCTCAGGGCACACCTTGCCTCGGGTGTTTCTGCTTGCAGTAGCGCAGGCCCCCGCTGTCAATCACCTCTGTAGCAGGAAGTACAGATGCTGTTTGGCATTCCAGAAATGAGTAAAGATCTACAGAGATAAACTCCACTTCCAGCCTGTGCATTCCATCAGGCCTGAGTAACCCTGAAGCATCCCCACACAGCATGGCACATTAAACAACACCACTACTTTACCCTGGGGTTCTTTGTAACCACTGGCCTGACTTGAATGCAGGAGTATTATCTGCATTGCTTGCAATGATCTTTTAAACTGTGTACTGAATTTTTAAAATAAAGGTCTTTGTGCGCCACATGCTGGTGGCAACACAGCACTGGACCCTAGGGTGCAGAGATGCATGTGGTGTTTTTCTGAAAGGACACAGGTGCTGTCTCAAGGTGCAGTGCTCACAAGACAAAGCTGAAGTCATAGTCAGAGTCTACAAACTCCAAACCAACAGGCAGAGCAAGCAACCACACCACCCAGGTTCTGAGGGGCTGGAGAGGCGACTCAGTGCTTAAGAGCACTGGCTGCTCTTCCAAAAGACCTGGGTTTCAGCACCCACATGGCAGCTCATAACTTCACTTACAAAGCTTCTGGCTTCCATGTGCACCAAGTACACATGTGGTACACAGATACACATGCAGGCATATAAAATGAACGTGTGTGTGTGTGTGTGTGTGTGTGTGTGTAGATGGTGAAGTGAAGAAGGGAAAGGGCTGAAGAGCAAGCCCCATGGAGCTTGCCATGCAGTCTTTGGAACTGCCATCTGCAAGGCTTTGTACCTGGCAGAGGTGGGAGTCTAGCACCTCTGGAAAGGTCACATTCCAAAATTTCAGTCACAGGGCCTGATGGTACCTTGCACAATGACTACTTGGCTCACCTGAACATTTTCACAGTGGCAGGGGACCCCTCTGGTATACAAAAGACTCAGGAGCCATGCTGACCCAGCAGGTTTGGAACCTACTATGCACAAATACTGGCTCAGCTCCACCAGGTTCCTCTCCACATTTCCCCAAGTGAGTTCCAAAGGGTGCCAAGGAAGGGTAGCCACTGTCATACTCCTGAAGGCATAGGTGCCAGATGCCCTTGCATAGCCTGCTTTGCTCCCGACCAAAACCTTCTGTTACCTACCCCACTGTCTCTTGACAACAATGGGACCCGAAGTGGTTCACCACTTGACAACACTCATGTTCCTGAAGGGTCCCTAGTGCTACTGGGAACTAGTGATGTGACACTTATGCACACGAGCAGTGACACATTGGGGAGGGTTGGACTGGGTCCCTCACCAAAAAGACATACCTGCTTAGAACTTGAGTTTATTTGGAATGGATTTGTGTGTAACATACTGACCCAAGTCTGACAAAAGACAATCTGTAAAACAAAGGAGGGCATAACACACCTGGAGGAGACTATTAGTGATGACAGGACAGAGCTGGGACCCAAGGACCATCCAGACCCAGCATAGAGGAGACAGGAAGTAACCTCCTCCTAGAAGGTACTGAGGAGTATAGTCCTGCCTGCACTCAGATTTAACTTCAGGCCTCCAAGCATGAGTGCTCTATGCTCCTGAACTTGTTACGGCAGCCCCAGGACAGAAACATACCCGTGAGAGATATAGCAGGTGTCAACACAGAGACAAGAGGGCTGAGGGCTCTGTGAGCATGCGTGAGCATGTCTAAGCAGGGGCTCCTGAGCACCTTCCTTGAGATATATCAGAGTTGTTCAGTACATGCTCCTCCTGAGACTCTGAGGATGCAGAGATCAGGACTGATGAAGTAGGCCTTTTCAAGGGGTCTGTGATGGAGGAGAATGGTGGCTGGATGTTTCCCAAGCTAGGGCCTTACTAGGGAGGTACTATAGGCCATGGTTTCCATGGAAGACAAGGAAGCAGGGTGTCCACAATCACAGGTCCAGTCAGCAATGATGGGGTTCAGAATATTGATACCTTCCCCACTTTGAGCCCCTCACCCAAGAAAGAACAGTGATAGCCTAGTCAGTGAGTGACTGGAATAGCTTCAGGCTCAGAGGGGGAACCGTGGCAAGGACAGGCAGGGCCTGATGACCTCAACTAGAGCGTAAGGCCTCACTAAGGTCATAACCAGCAACAACTAACTCTGTGTACAGCCAGGGTTTGATTTTCTTTTTCACGTTTTTAAAATGATTTTGTGTATGGGTATTTTGCATGCATGTACGTCTGTCTGTGTGTCCCACACATGTGCTTGGAATCCAAAGAGGCCAGAGGAGAGCATCAGATCCCCTGGAACTGAAGTTATGGATGGTTGTGAGCTGCCATGTGGGCACTGGGGGTCCAGGTCCTCTGGAAGAGAAGACAGTGCTCTTAGCCATCTCTTCAGTTCCCAGTTTTAAACTGTCCTACCCTGATGCTCCTAAAGAGGCAAAGGGGCAGAAGCGAGTGCTCAATCCTTCCCAGGATGCACCTGACTAGTCCCTAGAGTTGGATCTTGTGACTGGTGCTCTGGGATAAGAGAGAGAATTGTTTTTCCTGTGGACAGCAGAGTCTACATCATGCTCATCTCAAGGCCCAACTGAAATAGGGGAGCATGGAAATATGAGTTTCCAGTGGCTGGCATTGACTAGAGAGACGCAGAGCATACCTCAGCAACATCTCCAATGGCAAAGATGTGGGGGACAGAGGTAGCCTCCTGAGCATCCACAACAATCTTCTGGTTCTCAGGGTTGACATTCACACCAGCCTTCTCCAGATTTAGATTTCTGGTTTCTGGAACTCGCCCTTAAGGAAACGTAGAGAAAGTTGAAACATTTAGGTTAGCAATTTTGATGTAATGTAGTCGCAGGTGTATGAAATCCCAGTTCTTGAAAAGTGGAGGCAGGAGGATAACAAGTCCCAGGCAGCCTGGGCTATGTATATGTAGGGTTGGCTGGGCATGGTGGCACACGCCTTTGACCCCAGCACTAGGGAGGCAGAGGCAGGTGAATCTCTGTGAATTTGAGGGTGCCTTGATCTACAGAGTGAGTTCTAGGACAACCAGGACTACATAAAGAAACCCTGTTTCCAAATCAAGATTGAGGCTATAGCTCAGCAGCAGACCAAGGACATAGGAGGTCCTGGTTTGAGTTCCTGTACAATACATAGACCAACCAAAAAATTCTCTAACACACATTTCTCAGAGCTGCATTCTGTGGCTGGCCTAGGATCCCAGCTACTTTGACAGGCTGAGGCAAGATGTGCTCAAGCACAGGAGTATAAAGCAGTCTACACAACCTAGCAAGACTGTCTCCAAAAGACAAAACAAACAACAAAACAAACAAAAGCAATTTCTCAGAAAGGCCACTCAGAAACTGAAAAGCCTAGTTGCAGAGGGGCAGGAATAGAAGGGACTTTAACAGCCTCTGGCTCTAAGAGGGAAAGTCTATCAGTGTTCCTTCAGTTGTTATGACAACCTTGTAGGTACCCATAAACCCTTGTGGCATTCAGTACACTTTAGTGTCTGAGGGCACTATCCACTAAAGGTGGTGTCCCTCTCTGGTGCTGCTTTCTGAAACATGGATAAGGAGCAGATGCCTTCTGACACAATTGTAGCTTGACATTAGTTTGTGGGGGCCAGACTACAGAACCTTCCACATACCCCAAAACAGTAATGGCTCTGGTTTCAGAATCAGGAGAAACCAGGCCTCCCTTGCAGGAGGATGGTGCTATAGACATCTATCTGTCTTTGCTGTGTTGTTCCCATACCAGGCCTAGAACCACAGCTCCTTCCTGGGCCTCTTCTAAGGGACACCTAATGGCTCACTGGACAGACTGAGGTAAAGTAGACCTCAGAGCTGTGTTCCCAGCCAATGCTCAAGGCCTCTGTCTAGGTAGGGCCTGTAGGTTTTTACATGGAGGCTGCATGCAGGACAACACAGGTGGCAGGGCCTATAGTGGTCACCAACATTCAATAGGCCTCACCTAACCTCAGTCATCTGTCCTTCTGTTTGCCCTCTGTCCACTTGCATAGGCTTACCTTCCCACAACACATACTCTTTTGCTTGTTTGTTTGCTGGTCTTGTTTTGTCTGTTTTTCAGTGCTGGATGGAACCCAGGGCTTCACACATGTTGGGCAAACTTTCTACCACTGAGTTTCACCCTTGGCTGCTACTGTTCTGGATTTAATGAGATGGGCTACATAGTATTTAATGTCCAATAACAAAGACTGCGGTTGCTTCCATAGCCAAGGGTAAGACAATTGGGCTCTGGAGCTAATTCAAGAGATAGAGACCTTCACGGATGAAAATGAAAAGGCTACCAATGCGGAAGAGGCACTAAAGACTGAGGGGCTAGCCTGGGCACCAGTCCCTTCCCTGGCCACAGCCTCTGACCTCCTCAGTGCCAGGTTCTGGCCACTTTAACCTTCTTGCTCCCTTCAAGGATTTCTTAAATGTGGACAGTACTCCCCGGCCCCTTCCTTCTCTGGATTGCTGGCAGTATAGTTTCTTCCCAGATAGCTGCCTAGGTCTCCAGTCTCTCTGTGCAGAAAAACTGTCATTTTCCTGTGGATTTTAGTGTCCCGTCTATAAAAGGGACCCACATAGGACCAAGACAAGATGAGGCATAGGTTTCACAGGGAGACCAACCACCACACTGCTGCCCTTGCTGCTGGCCCTTTAAGGTTATGTGCTGAAATTTCAGTACTGGCAGCCCTGATGCTGATGACAAGAGAAAGTCCTGACACTAACTGAGGAGGTCTTAAAGATGGAACAGGCATAAAAGTCTCCAGTGCCAAGAGTATGTGTCCCCTTATGAAGACAGGGTGCACGCACATATAAGCCTACACACACACACACACACACACACACATACACACACACACACACAGAGAGAGAGAGAGACAGAGACAGAGACAGAGACACTGGCCAAAGCCAAAAATCAATGAAAAGGTTAAAAGCATTGTCCTATAGAAAGGAGAGAGGGCAGGTGTAGCAAAACACGCCTGCCACCACAGTACTTAGGCAGATGAGACAGGAGGACCACTGAAAGCTCCAGTCCAGTCTAGGCTGCAGAATAGGTCCAAGGCTAGCCATGACTACATTGCCGACCTTGTCTCAGGCAAAACAAACAAAAGAACAAGGAGAAGAAGATAGTGGTACAGAAGTGAGAATACTTGTCTAAACACATCTTTTGACACTTCTTTATGCTTATACATAGTTTATATATTCAAAAGAGACATTAACACAGAAAAAAAATTCTAAAAACCACAAATTTAAACAAATGAACCAAGAGGCTGCAAGAGAGCAGATGACAGGATCTACTACAGTCCTCTCAGCATCCTCAGGGAACAGTTCCAGGGCCCCCTTCCCAAACCAGGAATCCACATCCTGTCACATGCAGCCTGCCCCACAATTTGTGCACTTGGTTCATCTCTGGATAACTACCGAGACCTAATTCGGTGTCAGTGCTAGTGAGAAGTTGCTATGCTTTCACTAGGAGAACAAGAAAATACAGTGTGCATGTACTCAGTAGGTGCCAACAACAAAATGTTTTGATTGGTATTTTGTTCAGTCAGTAGAGTGCCTGTCTAACATGTATGAAGTCCTAGTTCTTTACTGGTGGGCACTCTTCCACTTCCCCAAGTGCTGAGGACTCCTGTGAAGTACTTACCCCACTCTGCCTACCCTGAATGATTCCTCCAAACAGGCTCCAGGTGTTACCTGCCACCAACAGACTATCTGCATGGACAGACAGAATCCAGGATAGCCTGTAGCAGGTGCTATGCAAGGAGCATGCTGACTAGAGCCAACAGTGAAGAGTTAAGCAAAGTCACATCCTACCCAGACCCTCAAAATAGGACTGTGACCCCCTCACCAGGCAGCCAGTAATGGTGCTGAATAAGAAAGCTAATAGCTACGTCTCCAGACCACAGTCCTCAGCTTGCTCTCTTCGGCACACCACCTATAGCTGTCCAGCAAACTGCTCGGAGCTGACAGAAGCTGGGCTTTCAGGCAGTTCTGAACTGCACCATGCTCACCCTCAGCTTCAGCTTTTGGGTGTAAAGCCCAGAACAGGGACAGGACAGGGTTATCTCTCTTGGTGTCAGTGTGTCTGTCCTCTCATGTTCCATACAGTTCTGGGCCTTCAGGGAGGGTAGCATATGAACTTTGTCATAGTTCAGCTGTCAGGGGAGGTGCCCTTTACCTTGAATCCAGATGACGGTGGCCCCTGAGCGGGTGGATGTCCCCCAGAGCTCCAGATAATTCCCCAGTGACAGAGGTGATTTGGCATCAAAGGCATAGTTCCCACAGTTATTGGTATCTGGGACAAGCTAGACTTCAGTGTGCAATGTCCAGGAAGTGGGTGGCGCCCACCTAAACATCTGGCAGATGAAGCTTTAAGTCTCCAGCTGTTACTATGGATGAGGAAGTCAAAACACTGAGACCCAGCTAAGCCTGGCTGCTACAGTTGGCTCAGGCTGGCTCCAGCCTCTTGGCACTACTCAGCCAGAGGAACTGGGAGTGGGCAGGCAGGCACCACAGGGATCAGACTGGACTCAGGCAATGGGAGGCCACAGCAGAGGAAGGAACTAGGCCTGTGGGTAGGGCTGGAGCACACAGGAGGAAGCAAAGGCTCTATAGGTTAGGGGCCCACGGCTCCATCCCTGGGTGTCTTCTCTGGCTGCCTGCTGCACTCACTGCCTCCTGGTAATTGTGCTGGAACAAGAGTGGAACTGGTAGCCTGCTCAAGCAGGAGACACTATGTTCATGGCCTCTCCTACATATATGCCCACCTGATCCTGTGAGGCCAAGAGCTCCTTGGTAACTATGGTAACTACCGATCTTGCAGATGCCAAGGGCCTTATAGAAATAAAGATACAGAAAAAAAAAAAAAAAAAAAAAAAAGATCCTTAACAATGCCAAGTGATTTTCAGTATATTTTAGTTTGATTTTCAGTATATTTTAGTTTGCTTTGTAAATATTAAATTGTACTATGTAGGACCTGGGTTCATTTTCAAAAGGGATATAACTCTCATCCCCCTTATCCATATATTGTGCCCAAAAATGGTAACTATTGCTGTTAACACATAAAAATCTGAATTATGCTCAGAGCAAGTAATACACAAATATTCACTATATATACATATATAATACATATTGTAAAGATGAAAAAAATATGCTTACGACAGAGATACATTCTGATGAATGTGTCACTGAACAGTTTGACATTGTATGAAGATCGAGTATTCTTACACAAACCTTGATGTTCTAGTCTACCTCATAGGTAGACCTTTTGTTCCCAGGCTATAACTGCATACAGCACTCACTACACTGAGTGCTATAGGCAACTGTAGCACAGCAGGTCTAGCCTCTAAGCACATTTGTCTCCATATACATTGCTACAGAGTTACAACAGCCTTGGAGCCACTGGGCCATGGGAGTTTTCTTTCTTTCTTTCTTTTTTTTTTTTTTTTAGCAGTGGGATAATCTTCCAGGAAGGCTGGTTCAGATACACAATGCATGCATCTGAAAGTAGTACCAGGAGAGAAGGCAGGGCGAGGAGCTAAGTGCCCTTTATGGTCTATTGCAAAGCCAAGATTTCCTAGGACATGTTGTATATATGCATTTGGGGGAGTCCAAGGGCATGTGAGCCAAATCTGCAGTGTGAGGAACAAATGCTGGGCTGGCTGGATAGAAGAGGAGCATACAGTATGGAAAAGAACTTCGCTAGTGTGTGGCAAGTGGTTTGTTACTGCTTCTGGAAGGGATGGAGGAGGAAGTGGAGGAGGGGGCAAGACAGGC